ATAATCATGTTGGGAAACCTTACTTTTAAAGAATATAAAAAACCAGCGTTGAATGTAATGAAACGCCATTTTCTGGGTGAGCCCTGGAGGCTCCCTGGAGCTTATCGGGCTAATGTATGATATATTAGACCGGGACATTAGCTAAGGAGTTCAGACCTAACAGGGACCAGTGCCAGAACCTGACCCCTTCAGAGAGGTTTCAGGGAGCAATGGCCCTGGAAAACCCCCTTGTGGTTGGGGTTTTCCTTATCTGCCATCGACTGGGGTTAGGCACCAAGAAAGGTAGGCATAACAAAACAAACCCCACATGATAAAGAACTAAAACAAAAAACAAACAGAGATAGAAACTCCCTACAATCCCAAGGAAACAAGCAAACATCACACTTTACTGCCACGCCAATCGTCCGCGCAGCCCTCGCCTCCCCGAGAGGGGGAGGGGGGAGCCCCGGACCTCACCGCGCCAGCTGCCTATCTTGAGGTTATCTTGAGATGATTTCGGGGCTTTAGTGTCACCGCGGCCCGGTCCTCGACCAGGCCTCCACCCCCAGGAAGCAGCCCGTGACAGCTGACTAACTCCCAGGTACCTATTTACTGCTAGGTAACAGGGGCATTCAGGGTGAAAGAAACTTTTGCCCATTTGTTTCTGCCTCGTGCGGGAATCGAACCCGCGCCACAGAATTACGAGTGCGCGCTATCCACCAGGCTACGAGGGTTGCCAGGGAGCTAAGCTTCCAAGGGCTCACCCAGAAAATGGCGTTTCATTACATTCAACGCTGGTTTGCTGTGGGGATGCCCCTACGGCTCCCTGGAGCTTCATACCCAAAGAGAAGGAAAAGAAAGGGCTGACCCGGGAGGCGGCCGCCACAAACTCCGCAACGCGAAGCCAAGACAACAGGCTGCAACCTGCGACCGAAGGCAACAAGAACGCACAGGAGCAGACACGTGCATAAAATATGCGCGGCCAAGAACCTGTGTGACCCTCAAATCCCTGCACTTGAAATGAGTCCTAGACGTCACCAATGCAGCAGCGAAAGCTGCAAATGTTTGAACAGCACGGGCGCAAGGACAGACCGTAGGCTGGAAGACTTAACTCTGCGGACGACCTGGGAGACCCGAGCCCTGAAACAGGGAACGAGGGGAACCGGATCAACCCAAAGCACATCCCCAGACACGGTATGCAGGTAACGGCATAAAAGCGCAACCGGACAACACACGATGCACCCCCGGCCGAACTTATCAAGCATCAATAACCCAAGAACCCCTCCAGAAAGTAGCCGTCTCGACCGTTGCCAGAAGGAGGGAGAAAGGCTGCAAACGTACAAACTTACTACCAGTTCCAAAGAGCAGAAACCTGAACTGAAGGGGCTACCACAAACTGAGGAGAAGATAAGAGGGCACCCTGATCAAGGACCAGGACGGCTCAGGCGACGCATGAGCAGGCCGGAGGTGAAACAAAACACGAGAAAGCGTATGGAACGGGGCAGATGTGACGTCCACCCCGAATGCAAGCCGGAGCGGCTCCGCCAGCGCCGCACAAAACGAGGCGACAGTATGAAACGTCAAATAACTGTAGTCCTGAAAACCCAAGAAAGGACAAGACAACCCGATGCGAAAGAGAAAACAACCTACGAAGAGCAAGAAAAAGGGTGCATAGAAACACCAGGAACGTCATACTGTTGCCAAGACGAAGCTCGCAGGTGGGACACCATCAAGAAAGCCACCCGATACCCGCGTCAAAATACCAGACGCGAAGAGCCGAGGAGAAGGCCGAACCAGTCAAGTACAGGACCGGTCTTACCTGCCGAAAGAGGCGGAGCCGCAGGAAAACGCCCCGGGTTCGGACACCTATCAAGCGGCGACTAAAAATAAAGCTGGGCCGGCCACCAAGGGACCATAAAGACTACTCTCGTGGGAATGGGCTCCAACCGAGCCAGAACCTGAAGCAACAGCTAAACCGGGAGAAGAGGAACAGGTACCCCCACCTCGACCAGTCCTGCCGAAAGGTATCCACAGTGAACGCCTCGCAAACGGGTAAGGGCGCCACATAGAATGGGCGGCGCCTAGACCACGCCGACTCGAAGACTTCCATGGCCAGGAGTCCATACGTCCGGCAGAGCTAACGAAACGAGTCGGCGACGACTGGCCAAACTGGGAACAGAGGAATGAACCGAGACAGCTGTCCGCCAAGACGTAGGACACACCCCGGACATGAACCTTACGGTTAGCCAAACCCCGAGAATCCAGCAAACGAGCCACTCGAAGGGACCAACCCCAAAGGTCAAACACCTAAGAGAAACCCTGTGGTTCCGGCAAAGAACCGCCAGAGAACAGTCCGAATGGAGCTGATGGTAGAGCACTGAGTGACCCAAACCCTCCGAAGCGCAAACCAGACAGCCACGTACTCCCGAACCGTGCTGCTAGCCTGACGGATGGACAGACCCTACCATCCCCGGCTGACCTGGTGAGCACTGGTCACAATGCCCCAACTGAGAGATGACCCGTCCGTGAACACATCCAGCGAAGGCTCGGGGAGGTGCCAAGGCACGGAACCCCAAAAACCCCAAAGAGGAAGATGGTGACGAAGCACCAACACAAGATCCCCGGAGGAATGAACCCAACGATAGCAAGAGAGGCGGAAGGGAAGTCTCAGAAGGAACCAAACAGACGCCAAAACCAAACCCGACCCCACGGGCAGACCAGCACATCGAAGTTCAGACTCCCACACAACTGCTCGAACAACCGCCGAGCAACCCGGGACCCCCTCATGAACAGCCGAAGGCGGGACCACAGCCGCAGCAACACTTCTGGAGGGAAAGACAAGGAGCGGCCCAAGAGCCCTAAACAAGACCCAGCCAGGTCCGAACCCGGGACGGAAACAGATGGAACTGCCTCCAGATCACCAGGAAGCCAAACCCGGCAATCTGGAAAGAACCACACCCCTGGCGAGGAACAGGTACCGACTGGGAGCCCACACCAGCCAGTCCAAGGTAGGCCAGACAACGAATCCCAAGCAGTCAGACAGGGCACCTCGGTCAAGATGGTCCATGGAAAGGCAGCAAGACAGGGCCGCTGGTAAATGAAGCTTGACAGGAGGAACAGGCTCGAAAAACTCCGTCCCCACCCACCAGCCCCCGAAACCACGAGAGTCTTCGGCCCCAACTAAACCCCGCCCCGATCCCGAAACCCGCAGATGGTCCGGAGGCGGGAACAGGGAGGGAAAGAGGCGAACAGCACCTAACCAAAACGGGGCGGCTCCAGGGCATCTGAGTGGGAAACCAACCTAGCATGTTGCAGCAACCTAACCTAGCTTGCAACACGGATGCTGCCTGTATTCTGAACAGTAATAACATCAGGAGTGTACTGGAGAACAGGCAGAGAAAATCTCTCGCAAGACTCCGGGTCAAGGGTCAGTGACCCAATAGGCAACATGACGGAGGTAAAAGTGGCGACTGTCACCCGGAGACAAGGGCACAGCAACCAGTGATCCCGTACAAGACGGGTCGGAACCCAGAAGACACATTCAATGGTCCACTGAGCCCCGACAGGGGTTTCCAGGGCCCGTAGGGGGTAACAACTACGGGAAGCCCGGGCAAGGTGTTGCTAACTGGTTAAACACCCAAAAATAACAAGGGGGTAAAGGACACCACTGAAAACCCCTGCGACGTGTACAATCATGGGGGCCTAGCTGAGGGCCACCAAACACTACCAGTGGAACTATAGCCACACGAGGCAGACCCCTTCCCCCCCCACCAGGCAAATGAAAATAAAAACAAAAGAAAAACCCCGCAAAAGTACAACGTCTCCAGAGGCAACAGGAACCGGTCACCACTTAGGTGGCAGGTCACGCAACACCTTGACGCCCTAACCAGCACAATACCAGTCCCTACCCAGGGCCAAACAAGGGCCCCAAGCCCCAGCTGGCCCCCAAAGGCGAGGCAAATGCCGAGCAGCAAGAACCTCTACGGGAATGGTTCCCGAACGCCCCAGGGAAGATAACCCTGTTACGCAGGGGCAGTACTCACAGAGCGCTTAGGGAAGTCAGCCACTAAGCGCATGCAGCCCTGGCACTGATGAGGTACTCCTGGCCACCGCACAACACAACACACAGCAGTGAACGCCACACAAGGCAAACACCGCCTAGGAAACTGAGGCCAGAGAAGCGTCTATCCCCGTTGACATTAGCGAATGAACTGATGCTAGGCAGCCGGCGCGGTGAGGTCCGGGGCTCCCCCTCCCCCTCTCGGGGCGGGGAGGGCTGCGCGGACGATCGGAGCGGCAGTAAAGTGTGATGTTTGCTTGTTTCCTTGGGATTGTAGGGAGTTTCTATCTCTCTGTTCGTTTTTTTTTTTTTTAAGTTTTTTACCATGTGGGGTTTGTTTTGTTATGCCTACTTTTCTGGGTGCCTAACCCCGGTCAATCGCAGATAAGGAAAACCCCAACCACAAGGGGGTTTTCCAGGGCCATTGCACCCTGAAACTTCTCTGAAGGGGCCAGGTTCTGGCGCTGGTCCCTGGTAGGTTTGAACTCCTTAGCTAATGTCCCGGTCTAATATAACATACATTAGCCCAATAAGCTCCAGGGAGTCGTAGGGGCTCCCCACAGAAAAGTAGCTGTCACAACTGCAAGAAAATGATAGTTTGGATAACAAGAAACTTTTAAACTAGGGATGCCATACCAATAATGGTACTTTTTAAGACACCAGTGCAATCTAGGGTGAAATATTGTTGCACACTAACAGCACAATTCAAAGCTAAAGAAATTGTTAACCTGGAGAGCATGTACAAGTCTTTTACCACTAGAATGCACTTTATGACACTTAAAATGTTTAAATCTGTATTCCCTAGAGTGCAGGCAGGAGAGATACATAATAATTTGCACTTTGAAATTACTATTACTGGTTCCAAATCTATAATTTTTACAAGTTAAGGAATGTGCAATTGTGACAAAGCAGAACAGTGGAGAGCTTATGAGGAAAAGATCCAAGTTAGTACTGTACGTACCATATCATATCCTGGAATAGTTGAATGATGGGTAGGAGGATGTGGCTCAGGCTCCAGTGACCGCCCAGCTGGTGAAGGTGTCGAAGGTGAAGAACCAGGCAACCTGGCAACTTCTACACGAGGCGGTTCCAAGAAACGTGGGTTAGGGTAACGTGGATGCATGTTCATTCCAATAAACTCCCCATGAGCTGTCCTTTGCTCATCCATAAAGACTCTATGATGGCCTGCATTATCCTCGACGGCAGCTGCAGGAGCAACTCTGGAATGAGTGGGCTCGTAGGGAACTGCAGGAGCACCAGGAAGTGGGCGCCCTTCCATCACAAGGTCAGAAGGTTGTGGCTGGTTAGTGGATGCATTTGTTTTAGGCACCACAGCTGAACGACAAACTGGCTGATTCAAACTCACTCCAGTGGTGGAGACTAATGATTTGGGTGGGTAGTATGCAGAACTTGGCACCGTCACACTCAACTTGCGCACATGATTTCCTGCAGGTATGGCTGCAGGTGACGACGCCACTCCCAATGTCTTAATCTGACCAACATCAAAATAAAAATTTTATTAATACCATAACTTTTACCACAAATTTTACTGTTAAAATATATGATCACTCCTTATAAGCACACACATACCTGATTCTAAATAAAGACTTTTGTGCTTCCATAATTTTCCAGTTTAAAGCTTTTTTGTAGTGCCAACAATGGCAAAGTTGCTAATGTGACCAATCTGGCAGCTTTGTTTTGGCGTTTACTTAGTGATCTCGGGAGTCTACTGATTAAATTTTACTACATGATTACACCTCATGCATTTTGTTTCATTACTTCACATAAGAATAGTTTATATTGCAATTTAATGTGAAACACATTCATTTCTTTCATATTTGTATAAACTATTATTTGAAGGCATCTTACCCTCATGTGCACTCATGTTTGAGTGCACAGTTTAGAACTTGACACAATTTTGAATAGCATTTAATGTCTGTGGTGAGCATTCTCCTGTCTACACCAAGAAGCTGCACAACTCAAAATGCTTTCCTTACCCCGATACTGTACTTGGGTATATTACATTTAAATGCAAGACTTGGCTAATGTTAAGATAATTATATAAACCCTTGTGCTTGACATCACATCCTCAGATGTTTGATTGCTGGTGAGCATCACATTCTTAAGTGTGTTTAGGTACTGCACACACCCTTAAGTGTGTTTAGGTACTGCATATCCTCAAGTGTGTTTAGGTACTGCATATCCTCAAGTGTGTTTAGGTACTGCATATCCTCAAGTGTGTTTAGGTACTGCATATTCTCAAGTGTGTTTAGGTACTGCATATCCTCAAGTGTGTTTAGGTACTGCACACACCCTTAAGTGTGTTTAGGTACTGCACATCCTCAAGTGTGTTTAGGTACTGCACATCCTCAAGTGTGTTTAGGTACTGCACATCCTCAAGTGTGTTTAGGTACTGCACATCCTCAAGTGTGTTTAGGTACTGCACACATCCTCAAGTGTGTTTAGGTACTGCACACATCCTCAAGTGTGTTTAGGTACTGCACACATCCTCAAGTGTGTTTAGGTACTGCACACATCCTCAAGTGTGTTTAGGTACTGCACACATCCTCAAGTGTGTTTAGGTACTGCACACATCCTCAAGTGTGTTTAGGTACTGCACACATCCTCAAGTGTGTTTAGGTACTGCACACATCCTCAAGTGTGTTTAGGCACTGCACACACCCTCAAGTGTGTTTAGGTACTGCACACACCCTCAAGTGTGTTTAGGTACTGCACACACCCTCAAGTGTTGATCAAACCCCACACTAGAAAGTGAAGATACAACAACGTTTCGGTCCATCCTGGACCATTCTCAAGTCAACCTAGGACAATTTACTTAAGAATGATCCAGGCTGAACCGAAACATACATACATACATACATACATACATACATAACGGACATTACATACATTTGTCGTACCTAGTAGCCAGAACGCACTTCTCGGCCTACTACGCAAGGCCCAATTTGCCTAATAGGCCGAGTAATTTTTTTTCAATAAATTGTTTCCAATTAGTTCATTGGAATTATTATTATTATATTGTATTAGGAACATAATTTATTGACTTAGTTGCATTAGTTTAGGTTAGGTTAAGATAGATTAGGTTAGGTTAGGTTAGGTTAGATTAGGTTAGATTAGATTAGGTTAGATTAGGTTAGGTTAGATTAGGTTAGATTAGGTTAGGTTAGATTAGGTTAGGTTAGGTTAGGTAGGGTTGGTTAGGTTAGGTAGGGTTGGTTAGGTTAGGTAGGGTTGGTTAGGTTAGGTAGGGTTGGTTAGGTTAGGTAGGGTTGGTTAGGTTTGGTCATATACCTATGTTAGTTTTAACTCAAATTTAAAAAAAAATTAACTTATACATAATGAAATGAACAGATTTATCATTTCATAAGTAAACAAATTAGAAAAATATATAAATTCAAGAGAACTTAGCCTATTAGGCAAATCAGATCTTGCATATTCGGGATAGTTTGGGGTGAGCCCCGCCCAGTCATTAGTCATTACACTAATTATGCCTGTCTCGTTAAGTAAAGTTTCTCTCCAGGAAAATTACTCATGTTTACATGCATTATACATGAAGTGTTACAAATATTAAAGGAGAGTACATTACCTTCAATGTTAAGTTTGACTAATTCTGTATTTGATGTATTGTTAAGGATGCCTAAGTAATCTAGTATACAGTTTTGCAACCAGCAAAAACCCAGCGTTGAATGTAACAAACCTTCATTTTCTGGGTGGGACCCGGAGGCTCCCCGGAGCTATACCGGTCTGATGTGTGTATATTAGACCATGGCAACAGTCATACGATGGAGTTCTAGGCCTACTGAGGACCAGCGCCAGAACCTGGCCCCCTCCTCAGGGGCACGAGAAGCCATGGCCTTTTGACACCCCCATGTAATTGGGAAGCAGTCTATGTCTGCCATCTACCAGGTCAGGCACCCAGAAATGTAGGAATTCCAAAACAAACTACAGCTGGTTAAAAATTGAAAACCGAAAGCCAAACTAGCAAGCAGAACTCCCCAAGAGAACACAAGCATGACATCACCACAGCCGCAATGCCGCTGCCTGCGCAACTATCCCCCTCCCTGGGAGGGGCAAGGGGGATCCCAGACCTCCCGCACCGGCTACCCAACCTCAGTTCAGAAGCTGAACATCTAAAATGCGAAAAAAACACCGATCAGAGGAAGGGAAGGATGTGGGACAGCTTCTAGGCCTCACCCAGTTTTCTGGATTTTCTGTGGAGTCTCACTTCGGCTCCACGGAGATACCTAACCAAAGATAAAAGAAAAGAGGAACTTGCCTGGGGGCGGCTGCCACTCGCTCCTCAACTCGAAGTCGAGACAGCTGGCTACAACCTGCGACCCAAGACTACACACGCCCGAGAATGACCAGGAACGTGAACAAGCTCCCATGTGGCCAGGACCCTGTTCAACCTTCAAAAACCCTGTGCCCGAATGTCAGCCCAGGACATATTACCAAAAACAGCAGCCAAAGCCGCAAACTTACGAATGTCGTGGGCACAGGGATAGACAACAGGCTGGCTGGACCGAATAATACTGCAGGCAACCTGGAAAACACGTGCCCTGGAATAGGCAAGAAGAGAAACTGGATCAACCAAAAGCGCATCCCTTGCCCCAGAGGCCGTGGCGCGCAAGTAACAGTGAAGAGCCGCAACCAGACAAAATATGATGCACCCCCTGGCCGAACCAACCAAGCATCAACAACCCAAGGACCCCTCCAGAAAGTAGCAGTCTCATTCTTCGCCAAAAAAGGTGACCGTTGTAAACGAACAAACCGACCACCAGGACTGAAAGAGCAGAAACCCCTGCACTGGAAGAGAACCTGAAGCTTTCTGACCCAAACCCCAGAGGCCAATGCCAACAAGAAAAAGCCTTAAAAAAGCAGTCCTAAACTGAAAGGGCCCACCACAAACCAAGGAGAAGAGAGGAGAGAGAGAGCACCCTGTCTAAAGATGAGGATGGCTTAGGGGACGCATGAACAGGCCAGAGGTGAAAGAATGCCCGAGAAAGCTTGCGGAATGGATCACAGAAGTGACATCCACCCCGAACGCAAGCAGAAGTGGCTACGTCAGCGCCGCACGATATGAAGCAACAGTAATCGGCACAAGATGATGGTCCTGAAGCAACCAAGAAAGAAAGGACAAAACAACCCGATCAGAAATTGAAGACAATCTACGAAGAGACAAAAAGAATTTTTGTCTTTTCGGTAAAGAATTACCGAAAAGATTGCCAGGAAACTCATTCTACCGCCGAGACGAAACTCACAGGTGGGACACCATCAACGAAGCCAACTGATCACCATACAAGTGGTGATAAACCCGCGTAAAAAAAACAGACACAAAGAGCGGAAAACAAGATCGAACAAGCCAAGTACTGGTCTGGATCAATCTGCTGAAAGAGGTTGCACCGGTAATGTTCATTGTCTATATAAACGATCTACCAGTTGGAATACAGAATTATATGAACATATTTGCTGATGATGCTAAGATAATAGGAAGGATAAGAAACTTAGATGATTGTCATGCCCTTCATGAAGACCTGGACAAAATAAGTATATGAAGCACCACTTGGCAAATGGAATTTAATGTGAATAAATGCCATGTTATGGAATGTGGAATTGGAGAACAGACCCTACACAATCTATAAATTATGCGAGAAATCTTTAAAGAATTCTGACAGAGATCTAGGGTGGTTCTAGATAGAAAACCATCATCTGAGGACCACATTAATGTAACAAACTAAGCTTGTTTTCTAAGTTCATAGATCTCAGATCATATGGGTTATAGGGAACACCAGCTTCACAGTGAGAGGGTACTTTTTACCTGGTTAGGAACGAAAAGGTCATCTTGCCAGAGATTAAGGTATTAGTGAAGATATTAACCCTTCCACTGCTAAGGGGTCCTGAGGACATTTACACCCCTGTGCGCAAGAAAAAAAAAATTCTAAAAAATTATTTTGTCTTCTAAAAATGTTAATTTGTGTTCCCTGAGCACGGAAAAAAAAAAAAAATCGTAGGTGACATGTTTTGGGCGCAATGACTGAGGAAGTCTGGCAAAAAGTGGGCGTTGACAGAGCGGTCGTCAGAGCCGGTCAGCGTCACCCGCGCTGACAAGTGGGAGTTGCCACAAAGATATCACTTATTTATTTCAATGTCTCTGATGTTTTCCTATTTTTTTTTTTTTGCAGTAATGTTATTCAATAGTGAGTATTGTGATATATTTATATAATAAAAGGGGTGAATCATCGCTATACTCAAAAGTATGGTGTGCATATTAGTGATTCAATTATTATGTTCATAAAACAATAAACAAATAGTTTTGCTGTTATTACACTCTATACACAGGTTATATATAAGTATCTGCATGTTTTGTTCACCATAACGAACCACTAAGTTGGTATTGAGAGTCGAAAAGCAACGAGGAGTGACCGCCACACACCAGCCAGCCACTCGTTGCCACTCCCTCAACAATGCCTCACTCGCCCACTTTCTCCTCCCACCATCCTGTTTTATATTTTATTCACAATATACAGACGTTATATATAAGTATCTACATGTTTTGTTCACCACAACTGTACAACTAAGCTGATATAGTTAGTTCAGGCACTAAGAGTCGTCGCTATACACACAGTCAGCTGGCGGCTCCCTCACTCATTCAAGGTCACACGCACTAAACTTTCTCCCCCAACAATACTGTTTGCAGTGTTATTACACTATATACACATATTATATATAAGTATCTACATGTTGTATGCACCGTAACTGTACACCTAAGCTTGTAGAGTGCCCAAAGAGCATAGTGGCCACCCTCTACACAGCCAGACAAATCATGCAGACGACGTCACCTCCGTCACCCAAATGGCTCCTCCCAACATAATCCTTTTGCTGTTATTACACTAATACACACATTATATATAAGTATCTATATTTGTGTTCACCATAGAGAACCACTGAGCTGGTATGGTGAATGCAGACAATAACAGGTGGCCACACAGTCAGTAAACGATGCTATCTTCCTCCGTCCCTCAGCTTCACTCCTCCCACAGCGCTAATTATCACAACAATCCAGCTATTATCACAATCCTGGTCATTTTTATCACAGTCAGGGGTCCTCTGTAATATTGTCATCGCTAAATAATAGCAGTTATATATTTATTTTGACATTTTTCGGCGATGCTGTGGTCACAAGCTGAACAGCAATGCTGTTCGCTCATGCTGCGTGCGCCAGCCTTGGTTGCTCCAACAGTACTGTGGCTCTCACACATGAGAATATTGCCCACGATTTAAAAAAATGGCGTCTGTTTACAAGAGCCCTGAGGAAGCTAATGTGAACCCCGTGTAGCCGCGGGCCATTTGAATCGTGCCTGGCACCCTATGGCGTATATATACGCCATGCGCACTGTGGGACATGTTACTCATGGCGTATATATACGCCATGCGCAGTTTAAGGGTTAAGAAGCTGGCTAAGTAATCTTAGCTAACTTCACAGTCTGGAAGACAGAGTAGGATCAGTGTGTGTGTTGAGACATCCTGGGGGTCAACATCCTGTCTCCAGAGGCATAGCTGAACAACTGGCCGAGCTGTGGCATTTAAGGTAACTGATCTGTCTGGTTGAATGCAGTTGTAGAATCCACATTATTTGTTGTAGTCAACTATCATTTGCCTCAGTTAGGAATATATTCAGTTTTCTTTTTATTTTAATTGATAATCTTTTTTTAATAAATCTTGTTTAGAATTTATGGTGTTTAGTGGAATTTCCCTCCCCCCCCCCCTCCCCAACGGTTATTTTACATTGTTGGGCTCAAGCCCCAGGCTTGGGACTACCACCCTCTGCAAGCCTGCAAGCAGTTATTTAATACCTCAGATAGTCCCTTTGTACTTTGATTTAATTCCACACTTAACGTAAATCTTATCCCTCCTTTTCGGGTAACTGGGGATCCATTTTCGGGGTTTATGCCTAACTGACCGTTTCCTGCTTCACCGTCAATTGGGGGAATTACTCAGTGGGTAGATGAAGCAGGTGGAGGTTTGCAGTGTAGCATAGAAGGGGACGGTGTCCTCGGGTCGTGATATCTAAATGATCGAACGTTTTAGATCTCGAGGAGTTGAACTGAAGGTTACACAGCAGAACTCTGGTCTGTAGGATTACTTAATAATGACCAGCATTTAACCATTAAGTGAAGTTAAAGGCTAACGCCCCAGCCAGCGACGATACTACCTCCTACCCAAGGCCAAACGAGAATAACAACCACCCCCGCTGACCCCAAGGGCAGGCAATCACCGAGCAGCAACAGAACCACGCGGAGGTATTCTCCCGAACGGTTCATGGAAGGCAACCCTAAATCACAAAGGCAGTACTTACAGGGCACCTAGGGAAGGTGACTTCTAGATGCAAGCAGCACCCAGTACTCTTGTGTTACTTCTGGCTCGCACACCACCACCACCACAGTAAAACAACACCGCAATGGATAGCTCTGCTCAAAAGAATGGAGCCAGATTTGATCGACCACCATCAATCACAACAGCCTGTGAACTGAGGTTGGGTAGCTGGTGTGGGAGGTCTGGGACCCCCCTTTTCCCCACTGGAAGGTTCTGGCCCTGGTCCCCAGTTGGCCTAGAACTCCATCGATTTACTGTTGCCACGGTCTAATAATTTATTTATATATATATTTATATATATATATGTCGTACCTAGTAGCCAGAACGCACTTCTCGGCCTACTATTCAAGGCCCGATTTGCCTAATAAGCCAAGTTTTCCTGAATTAATACATTTTCACTAATTTTTTCTTATGAAATGATAAAGCTACCCATTTCATTATGTATGAGGTCAATTCTTTTTATTGGAGTTAAAATTAACGTAGATATATGACCGAACCTAACCAACCCTACCTAACCTAACCTATCTTTATAGGTTAGGTAGTCGAAAAACAATTAATTCATGAAAACTTGGCTTATTAGGCAAATTGGGCCTTGCGTAGTAGGCTGAGAAGTGCATTCTGGCTACTAGATACGACACACACACACACACACACACACACACACACACACACAGTGCTGGGAAGACGGGACACCACGAGCGTAGCTCTCATCCTGTAACTACACTTAGGTAATTACTTAGGTAATTACACACACACACACACACACAAAATAGCCCGGAATAGATCCGGGGAGCCGATGGGGCTCTCCATAGAAAATACAGTTTTAGCCAGCATTAAAACTTTGCATATATCATTTATGTATGGTAGAAAGAGAATAGATTCTATAATTGGCCCCATGAGGTAATCCAATGTTACACATCTGAGTGATTGATATTGTTTTAAAATAAACAATAAACATGAACAAGAAACATCTGTATCAATCAAGTGCTACTATATCAATCATGGAAGCACGACGAGTCTTTGTGATTACTCTTGATCAGGAAAAATTAATTTAGTGCTTGACATTTTTACATAATTTCAATAGTACCCAGTCTGGATGTTAGGTAGTATGGGGAGTACGAGTCACCTAAATGAGCATGGTTTTTATGGGCAAGTCTCTTAGATGTTGCTTATGGTTCAAGAGTAAACTGCTTAAGCTAGGAATTCATCTTTCACTGGGTAAAATACAACAAAGTAACTGCTCTATATTTAAACTGTACCTTTGATTGTGGTGGTTGCTGAGCTTGCTGTGCTTGTTGCTGTACTTGGTGTTGTTGCACCTGCTTTTGTTGTAACTGTTGCTGGGGCATCTGCTGCTGCTGCTGCTGCTGCTGCTGCTGCTGTAGCTGCTGTTGCTGCTGTAGCTGCTGCTGCTGTTGTAGCTGCTGCTGCTGCTGTATCTGCTGCTGCTGCTGCATCTGCTGCTGCTGCATCTGCTGCTGCTGCTGCATCTGCTGCTGCATCTGCTGCTGCTGTATCTGCTGCTGCTGCTGTTGCAGCTGCTGTTGCTGTTGCAGCTGCTGTTGCTGTTGCAGCTGTTGCTGCTGCTGAAGTGGTTGTTGAATCTGTGTATGTTGCTGCTGATTCTGCAGCTGTACCGGTTTTTGTTTGGTGATGAAAACTGGTGCAGTTATAGCAGGTCGTGGTGCTCCCCCTAACGTGACAACGGCAGGTACAGCACTACGAACTGGCGGCGCTTGAGTAGGAGTCAGAGTACATGGTAAGGAAGGTGGTATGGCAGTAGATATGGTAGGTACAATAGTAGGAATACTTGCTGAAATCTGTGCGGGGACTGAGACAGGAGGGCGAACTCTGGGGACTAGTTCCACGCTCACCTCTCCTACACGACCCACATTCATCAATGGAACACTAATACTACTGGTCTTAGTAACGGCTAAAGTCACACCTGCTCGACATCTGTTGGTAAGAGTTGCTGTATGAGTGACATCAGCAATACTGCTGCTGTTTATTACAGAACTTGCACTAGAAATAGTTTTGCTACCAGTGCAAACTGATACAGGAACAATCTGCTGCTTAGATAGGTGTTCTGCAGTAGTTAAAGAATGTAGTGTGGGAGGAATTACAGTGGTTTCACCACTATCAGTGACATACTGACCTTCTTCACAGACCTTCACTCGAGTAACAACACCAGTTACTGGATCTACCAGTTCTGCTTCAGACTTCCGTTCCTCAACGCATGACACCACCAATGGAGTTGTACTGGTTGTAACTGCACTTGTGACTATGGTGGAAACACTTGATACAGTTGTTGTTGTGATTGGGGATATGGATTGGGTAATGCCCAGAAAGGGTTTGTCAACATCTAACTGTGAATCGAACGAGCGTGGACGGCCACGTGGGCTCTTGCGTATTGATGCTTCCTCCTCGGCATCAATATCACGTTTAACGTCAACATCACGTTGTTTACCACGACCTCGACCTCGAATAGACACAGGCTGAAGTGTGGACACAATAGCTGTAGGCAATGTACCAGGTAAAGTTGTTGTTGTAGCAGTAATAAGTAAAGGATCTGTACTATCCAACACAATAATTGGTTCACTATTACTGCCTTCATCGATTACACCTAAACCTTGCAATTCATCCTCGGGTACCTTATCACGAAGCCGACCTGATCGTCGTGTAATTGGTGCTATAGGACGATCATCAGTAGTATCCACTCGGCGAGTTTCTTCCAATTCGGGTTTAATTGGACTTCGGCCTGCAACTGTTCTAGTCGAGTCCTTTTTTATTTTAGTTTTAGCTAACCCTAAATTAATATCTTCATCTTCAGACTCATGGAAATCATAAACATCTGAAGCAATTGGTGTTGGTAACGGGCGACTTTCTTCGGCCTGATTTGTACGACCACCACGGCCACGGCGCCGACGACCACTTGTTTCCTCATGATCCACCATATCTGGATGTCGCCGAGCACGTTTTGTTCGACTGCTTCGTCTGGGTTCAGGCAAAGTTTTGTCTACAGTTGGAATTACAGATATATCTGTCTGAAGTACATCCTTTTGGATTTCATTATTACGAGTCTGGCGCCCTCTGCCTCGACCCTTTCCTCTAGTTGTGGCACCAGATCTGGTTAAAGGTTGCACAGAGTCAGAGGTTTCTTCTACAGCCTCAGGGGGCCGTCTTCCACCTCGTCGGCCACGTCCTCGCCCTCTACCTCGAGATGTTATGAGAGCGCATTCTTCTATTTTTGAATCATTTTGGGGAATGTTTTCAGACAGACAATCAATGTTTTGTTTTGCATTCTTTTCTTCCAATGAAATATTTTCATTCTGATTTTGTATCTCTGAACATACTTGCTCTAGCTTTGCCAAGTCATCCAAAGGACGAGAGAGCAAACATGGTTTTGAAGATATTACTTCAGAACTTGTCTTCTGGTTCATACATAAAGACGACTCCTCTGCATTTGGTTGAGAAGCTCTCTCCAAATCGGGTTGAGTGGCAGTCTCGCTGACAATTGTTTGAAGATTAGCTAATACATGCTCCACTGTCATAGGGTTACTAACACCATCAACTTTAACTGCTTCACATGTATGTACTGTATTGTTAGGAACCTTGCCCTCAAGTCCTTGTTTGCACTCCACACATGAACTATCCTCAGATGGTAATCTAGTCTCTTCCTTTACTTTCACATCTGGACATATCTGTGAATCTATATTGCATTTTATGTCAACAGCTTTATGAATATCAGCTGTTACTGATTCATGAATGAAAGGCTTCATGCCCTTATTAACATTAGGTGAGCATTCTTCTTTTATTGTTTTACTTAAGTTAAGTTTAGTGTCAATAATTTCTATTGGTTCTGTAGCAGTTTTTGGTTCTGTTGCTGGAATGGGCACTGAAGAAGGAACAGGTGCAGTAATAGGAACAGGTACCAAGGTAGAAACAGAGAGGGAAGAGGTTTTGGGGATAAATGTAGACTTATCTGGTACAGATACGGGTAATGATGTTGACAAAACAAGAGGTGCTTGGGATGTCTTAGTAGCTGAAGGTAAAGTGGATACCATGGCTGATGTGGACAATGATAATACATTAGCATTTGAAATGAGAGTTGGTGCTAAAGTGCAAATGGAAGTTGAAGTGGAAGTTGATAATAAATTAGAAGCTGAAGTGAAAGAGGATACTGAGGTTAAAGTTGATAGAGCATTAGTAGATGTAGTGAGAGTAGGCGCTGAAGTGGGAGTAGGTGCTGAAGTGAGAGCAGGCGCTGAAGTGAGAGTAGGTGCTGAAGTGAGAGTAGGCGCTGAAGTGAGAGCAGGCGCTGAAGTGAGAGTAGGCGCTGAAGTGAGAGCAGGCGCTGAAGTGAGAGCAGGCGCCGAAGTGAGAGCAGGCGCCGAAGTGAGAGTAAGCGCTGAAGTGAGAACAGGCGCTGAAGTGAGAACAGGCGCTGAAGTGAGAGCAGGCGCTGAAGTGCGCGCAGGCGCTGAAGTGAGAGTAGGCGCTGAAGTGAGAGTAGGCGCTAAAGTGCGAGAAGGTGCTGAAGTGAGAGTAGGCGCTGAAGTGAGAGCAGGCGCTGAAGTGAGAGCAGGTGCTGAAGTGAGAGCAGGTGCTGAAGGGAGAGCAGGTGCTGAAGTGCGAGCAGGTGCTGAAGTGCGAGCAGGTGCTGAAGTGCGAGCAGGTGCTGAAGTGCGAGCAGGTGCTGAAGTGAGAGGAGCTGCTGAAGTGAGAGGAGCTGCTGAAGTGAGAGGAGCTGCTGAAGTGAGAGTAGGTGCTGAAGTGAGAGTAGGTGCTGAAGTGAGAGTAGGTGCTGAAGTGAGAGTAGGTGCTGAAGTGAGAGTAGGTGCTGAAGTGAGAATAGGAGATGAAGTGAGAGTAGGCGCTGAAGTGAGAGTAGGCGATGAAGTGAGAGTAGGCGATGAAGTGAGAGTAGGCGCTGAAGTGAGAGTAGGCGCTGAAGTGAGAGTAGGCGCTGAAGTGAGAGTAGGCGCTGAAGTGAGAGTAGGCGCTGAAGTGAGAGTAGGCGCTGAAGTGAGAGTAGGCGCTGAAGTGAGAGTAGGCGCTGAAGTGAGAGTAGGCGCTGAAGTGAGAGTAGGCGCTGAAGTGAGAGTAGTTGCTGAAGTGAGAGTAGTTGCTGAAGTGAGAGTAGTTGCTGAAGTGAGAGTAGTTGCTGAAGTGAGAGTAGTTGCTGAAGTGAGAGTAGTTGCTGAAGTGAGAGTAGTTGCTGAAGTGAGAGTAGGTGCTGACGTGAGAGTGGAAGTTGAAGAGGAAATTGGTAAAATATTAATAGTCGAAGGGAAAGTGCGAGTGCAAGTAGAAATGGAAGTGGGTAGTATTGTTGTCGGAGTTGACAATACATTAGCAGCTAAAGCGAGTCTGGGTATTGTTGTGGGAGTTGACAAGACAGTAGCAGTTGAAGTGAGCTTGGGTATTTTTGTCGGAGTTGACAACACATTAGCAGTTGAAGCGAGTCTGGGTATTGTTATCGGAGTTGACAATACATTAGTAGTTGGAGCGAGTCTAGGTATTGCTGTCGGAGTTAACAATACATTAGCAGATGAAGCGAGTCTGGGTATTGTTGTCGGAGTAGACAATACATTAGTAGTTGAAGTAAGAGTGGGTGCTGAGGTTCGAGTGGGTGCCGTGGAGCGAGTGGGTGCCGAGGAGCAAGTGGGGGCCAAGGAGAAACTGGGTGCTGAGGAGAGAGTGGGCGCTGAGGAGCGAGTGGGCGCTGAGGAGCGAGTGGGCGCCGAGGTGCGAGTGGGCGCCGAGGTGAGAGTGGGGGCCGAGGTGAGAGTGGGGGCCGAGGTGAGAGTGGGGGCCGAGGTGAGAGTGGGGGCCGAGGAGAGAGTGGGGGCCGAGGAGAGAGTGGGGGCCGAGGAGAGAGTGGGGGCCGAGGAGAGAGTGGGGGCCGAGGAGAGAGTGGGGGCCGAGGAGAGAGTGGGGGCCGAGGAGAGAGTGGGTGCCGAGGAGAGAGTGGGTGCCGAGGAGAGAGTGGGTGCCGAGGAGAGAGTGGGTGCCGAGGAGAGAGTGGGTGCCGAGGAGAGAGTGGGTGCCGAGGAGAGAGTGGGTGCCGAGGAGAGAGTGGGTGCCGAGGAGAGAGTGGGTGCCGAGGAGAGAGTGGGTGCCGAGGAGAGAGTGGGTGCCGAGGAGAGAGTGGGTGCCGAGGAGAGAGTGGGTGCCGAGGAGTGAGTGGGTGCCGAGGAGAGAGTGGGTGCCGAGGAGAGAGTGGGTGCCGAGGAGAGAGTGGGTGCCGAGGAGAGAGTGGGGGCTGAGGCGCGAGTGGGGGCAGAGGTGAGAGTGGGGGCCGAAGTGGGAGTGGGGGCCGAAGTGGGAGTGGGGGCCGAAGTGGGAGTGGGGCCCGAAGTGGGAGTGGGGGCCGAAGTGAGAGTGGGGGCCGAAGTGAGAGTGGGGGCCGAAGTGAGAGTGGGGGCCGAAGTGAGAGTGGGGGCCGAAGTGAGAGTGGGGGCCGAAGTGAGAGTGGGGGCCGAAGTGAGAGTGGGGGCCGAAGTGAGAGTGGGGGCCGAAGTGAGAGTGGGGGCCGAAGTGAGAGTGGGGGCCGAAGTGAGAGTGGGGGCCGAAGTGAGAGTGGGGGCTGAAGTGAGAGTGGGGGCCGAAGTGGGAATGGGGGTCGAAGTGGGAGTGGGGGTCGAAGTGGGAGTGGGGGTCGAAGTGGGAGTGGGGGTCGAAGTGGGAGCTGAGGCGAGAGTGGGAGCCGAGGTGAGAGTGGGAGCCGAGGAGAGAGTGGACGCTGAGGTGAGAGTGGGAGCTGAGGTGGAAGTAGATAATACATTAGAAGTGAGGAGCGAGGTGGTACAAGGTACTGAAGTGGACACTCGTACAGGTGTAGGTATTAATGAAGTGGTTTTCTGAACTGACGTAGTGGTTAGAACAGGAGCAGTGGTATGTATCGATGTGGTAGTCAGACTGGAATTGCAAGTGGAAGATGCAACAGATGTAGAAATGGGGGATGGAATGGAAGCTGTAGTGTACACAGGCATTGAAGTAGATAAAGATGATGTAACTGCTGCCATGGTGGACACTGAAGATGGACTAGTCACTGAAACGGGGGAGGATACTGAAGGGGACACTTGTTTAGGGACAACAGTGGATACTGATGTTGCTGCAGCAGAAACTGAAGACACTGAAGAATTCAGTGGAGCACAGACAGATTTTACAGAAGCAGAATTTGATACTGTTAGAGAAGAAACTGTAGTTTGAATATTTCCTTTAGTTTCAATCTGACAATTCAACTTTGACTTTAAAGCGCCATCTACTGGACAGGACTGAACCGTCAGAGAAGTTAAAGATGAAACTGTTGTATTTACTCTATCTGTTTTATGTTTTGCATTAACTTCTAACGAATGTGTTGGTGAAGTTGCTGATATACAAGAACGTTTTTCAGGGCATGAAACTTTTGCAGGCATGGCATCAGACTTCAAAGGAATCAAGGCAACTGCCTCCTGTGGCAGTGTTATAGGCTTCTCTACAACAGATGTGGATTTTACTCGAGTTGGTGAACATTTTATAGATGTTTGCTTCAAAGGAGCCATTCTTGGCTTCAAAGGAAGAGGTGATGGCAACATGGGAGTTTTTACGGAAGATACAGTACACTTTGCAGAGGCTGTAACATTGCTTGAAGTTACAGACGCTTGTGATCTCTCAACACAAATTTCAGATAAAGTCACAGCTGGCTGGCTAACTTTTTCCAGGGAAGTTTTGGAAGGTGGACTTGGTATTGGTTGAGTAGGCCTTTCTGATTTTGGTTTCTGTTTAAGCTCTGTCTTTTCTGTCTCATCTGATTTATGAACAAGTTTATCATTACGAGCATCATCTGCTTTGGATCGTGTTGATAAGGATTCTATTGTAGGCCTTCCTGATTTTTCAGTCGTACTCGACCATGATGAACTATTAGCCGAAACATCACTTTCTTCATGTGTGTGGCGATGTGCTCTTTCCTCTTCATGAGTTACTGTGGATGAATCCAGATCATCAGTAGGGTCAGGTTGGTCTTCATCAATTTGTAATTCTGGCTCTGACTGTATAGATGCTGGACTATCAGGTGATACTTGAGAAAATCTTCTACCTTCTGCCTCTGGTTCCTGCTGCTCTTGCTGCTGCTGCTCTTCCTCCTCCTCCTCATCCTCCTCCTCCTCTCGTGGTACCACTGGTTGTGATTCTGGCTCTTCTGCAACTTTGACAGGAGTAGATGGGGGATTATGAGGTGGTTGCTGTTGCCAAGCATCATCTCTCTCTCCTGGCATCTCACACTGTAACATTTGAGCAGCTTTTTGAGCTTCTTCAAAAGCATCCTCAGCAGCTACAGAAGCTTCAGGAGGAAGTAGTGTCTCCTCAACATTTGGTTGTACAGCAGTAGCAGCAGCATCACTGTATTCATCATAACATGCCAGAAGTCCAGCAACAGCATTCAGAGTTTCTTCTTGAGAAATTACAGCTCTAGATGCCTTTCCTGAGCCACTTCCACTAGAAGTAGCATTGGGATCAACAGAGGTGTCTGGACCACTAAGATTTGATGCTTCAGTTATATCCTCAAATATTGGTTCATGTGTCGTGGAGGGTGATGATGATGGCACATGCGATGAGAGAGACTGGACTGCTGACTCTGCTGCATCTGGAGGAAGCGTGGTTAGTGGGTGTGGACTTCGGGCCTCTTTCATTTCAGATGATTCACTACCCTCCCTGGACTCGACAGATTCCCTCGAGTCACGAGATAAGCTCCACGCAGGTAGACTTTGTTGTGGAGGTGGCTCAAGAGGGCTACAAGGAATGCAGGTATCTGTTGAGTTGCATACTGATTCCGAAGATTGAGTCATTATTTGTGGACTATGTGAACTGACAGGTGTTGGTGCTTCATGAGCTTCAGTTATTTTGTCCTGAGGGCTAAGATGACATGGTGAAGGCAATTCATGAGGATTGTTTGGAGAAAGGGTATCTATGTGCAACACTGATGAAGAGTCAATAACATGACTGTCATTTTGATGCTCAGAAATATGATCATCACCAGGATGATGACGGCGACGCCGGCCACGGCTTCCATCTTTCTCCCGTTTTTGCCTTTTCTTTTTCTTCTTATCCTTACGTGAGTCACGTTGCTCACCTGGATCCTCATCAGTGACATGAAAGGTATCCATGGTAACTCTGGGTTCGGTATTCAAATACTCATGATCATCTTTCTCTGCTTCTGTTGAATGCAGGACATCTGTCAGTGATAGTTCTTGATCTTTATTATTGTCAGCACTGATACTAGCACTAGGTACATTGTTACTATTAATGCCACTATTACTCTTTTTCTCTAAATCACAAATCACTTTAACATCCTCAGACAGTGGAAATGGTTCACGGCGGAATTTTTCTTTTTTCAAACTTCGTCGCTCGTCTACTCTACTCTCGGGTTTAATCTTTGTTTCCACTTTAGTTTCACTTTTTAATTCTAACCATGAGGTATCTTGAGAAGCTTGTTTAGTTCGGATATGACTAAGTCTTGATGAATTTGGTGCAGGAGGCCCATGTGTATCATCAGAGTCAGTGTCATAAACTTCACACACAGTAAGTCTTGTCGGTGCAGGAGATAATGGTGGTGGGGCTATAGAGGTTCCTGAAGAAGCAGATCCCTTTCTTTTTGAAGTTGCAGAGGCAGGACAGATACAAGGCAAATTAGGAGTTGGATCTGAGTCATCCGATATATGACCAAATATTATCTCCATTCTATCATCTTTCTTTGAAGATATCTTATCTCTAGTTATTCCACTTTCGCCAGTTCGTTTTCTTTCCCTCTGTGGCTGTAAAACTGGCTTTTCTTGTCGTACTTCACATAATTCAGCTTTCACTTTTGGGCGAACAGAACGGGAGTCTTCCAAAGGAGCAATTGCATCGCTCTCTTCTGAGGTTGTAATTATTTCTTTACTAATGGTATTACCTTTTTTGGGCTTCTCTCTAATGCGAGCAGGTTTACGTTCTTTATCGCGTACCTTTACTCTAGCAGCTGGTTTGGGTGGCTTCGTGTATGATGAAACATCCGACACCTCACTTTCAGATTCAAGTTGTCGCAATGTCTTGCTTGCTCTTTTACAATTTGCATCACTTTCAGTATCAGAGTCAATAAAAAGATGATCTCCATGTCCTCTAACAATATTTGTAGGTTCTGTAACATCAGGTATACTATTCTGTATGATACTAGTAAGAAATCTTGGTGAATTTATAACTTCTTCATCGGTGGTGACATCAGATACAATCAAATTTTTATTTTTATTTTTTGCTTCCTTTTTACCAATAGGTATTGGTGCAACTTTTTTCTTATCCTGCCTTAAACAGACATCATCATCAGTTTCATCTGATGAGAGATGCATAGGGCGACGCTTACGCAGAGCATCATCATCTGAACTAGTGTGTCGATTATGTCCACGCTTTTGCCCTCGACTGTTACCATCCCCTTCATCTTCGGAATCTGAGATATCTGAATGAACAGGTGGTATTGCTTTCTTTTCCTTTTTAGCTCGCTGGTGCTGACGATACTTTTGTATCTGTAATTGTTTTAATTCTTGTTGTCTTCTCTCCTCTTCCTGCTTTTGTTGACGTTTTAGTCTTCTTGCTTTCACCTTATCATACATGTCGTATTTACCGTCATCAGCTGGAATGTCAAATATGGAGTGCTTTTTAGGCACTTCTTCCTCTTCCCCATCTTCTGCCTCTGCCCCAGAAGCTGTCAAACTGTCACAAGAATCACTTTCTGGATCAAATATTGACTTTGTTTTGTTACCATGTTTACTCTTCTGGCCTGCACTCATTCCAATTCGTCCTTGTTGCTGGTGTGGTTTACTGCTTGTGCTATTACGCCTGGCAATTGTTGTCACCTTAGCCCTGATCATTTCATCTTCTGATGTTGCTACATCAGTTGCAAGTAACTGAGGATCAAGAGACTCTGTACGACCTTTTACTCGTGCCGGTTGAAGAGGATTTGTCTTACCTCTACAGGATGCAACTTTTAATCGTGCTTCTCCGTCGCTCTTATCACTTTTACCAGAATCGTGTTTTCTTCGACGACCATCACGCAACCGATCTCCTCTCCTTTCTTCAGAGTCTCCACGTACGTCAGATTTATCCATCCGATGGATGGAATCTTCTGCATGATGCATACAGGGATCATTAGGTGTTATAGTGTCCTCACTGCTGGAGTAATGAATGCACGACATTTTACTTAATTCTGCAATTTCATCTTCGTCAGTTTCGAGCAAGCGAGTTTTACGAAGCTTGTTCTTAGTAGTATCATTACCATCAGGCATTTCATACAATCTGTGGTGATGTTTGATAGTATTTTCATGTCTAGAATCTCTTCGTTTGTCATTATAACGATCATTGTTATGGCGCCCATCCCGCCTGTTGTCTATCCTTTCATTATTATCACGGTGATTAATTCTACCTATTCTTTCTTTGTCTCGCTCACGTGTTCTGTCATTAACTCTGAGCTTTTCTTTGTCTTTTTCACGTTCTCTTTCTCTCTCTCTCTCTGCCGTTTTCTCTCTCTCCTTCTCTGAAACCTTCTCAATTGTCTTATCCCTCTCCTTTTCATTAGCCTTTTTTCTTTCCTTCTCCAAGGCCTTCTCCCTCTCCAGGGCCTTCTCCCTCTCCAGAGCCTTCTCCCTCTCCAGAGCCTTCTCCCTCTCCAGGGCCTTCTCCCTCTCAAGAGCCTTCTCCCTCTCCAGGGCCTTCTCCCTCTCCAGAGCCTTCTCCCTCTCCAGAGCCTTCTCCCTCTCCAGAGCCTTCTCCCTCTCCAGGGCCTTCTCCCTCTCCAGGGCCTTCTCCCTCTCCAGGGCCTTCTCCCTCTCCAGGGCCTTCTCCCTCTCAAGGGCCTTCTCCCTCTCAAGGGCCTTCTCCCTCTCAAGGGCCTTCTCCCTCTCAAGGGCCTTCTCCCTCTCAAGGGCCTTTTCCCTCTCAAGGGCCTTTTCCCTCTCAAGGGCCTTTTCCCTCTCAAGGGCCTTTTCCCTCTCTCTTTCAAAAGCTTTTTCCCTTTCTTTTTCAAGAGCTTTCTCCCTTTCAAAGGCTTTTTCCCTTTCCTTTTCAGGGGCTTTCTCCCTTTCTTTTTCAAGAGCTTTCTCTCTATCAAGAGCCTTTTCTATAGACTTTTCCTTTCCCTTTTCCCATTCTTTTTCCATATTCTTGTCTCTCTCCTTTTCTTTCTCCTCTACTTTCTCATGTTCCTTTTCTCTTTCCTTGTCTTTTTCCCGCTCTCTCTCTCTAATCCTCTCCTTTTCTGCCTCTTTATCATGCCTAGAAGATGTTGAGGAGCCTTTAAGTTTTTCTTTATCTTTGGATTTTTCCCTTTTATCTTTGTGCTTCTGGTCCCTAAGTTCAGCTCTCTTGTCCTCACTGTGTCTTCGTTTTTCTCCTTCACTTTTAACCTTCTCCTCACGCAAGCCATCTCGTCTTTCTTCTTTCCTCTCCTCTCGTCTTTCTTCTTTCCTCTCCTCTCGTCTTTCTTCTTTCCTCTCCTCCCGTCTTTCATCTTTCCTCTCCTCCCGTCTTTCTTCTTTCCTCTCCTCTCGTCTTTCATCTTTCCTCTCCTCCCGTCTTTCATCTTTCCTCTCCTCCCGTCTTTCATCTTTCCTCTCCTCCCGTCTTTCATCTTTCCTCTCCTCCCGTCTTTCATCTTTCCTCTCTTCCCGTCTTTCTTCTTTCCTCTCCTCCCGTCTTTCTTCTTTCCTCTCCTCCCGTCTTTCTTCTTTCCTCTCCTCCCGTCTTTCTTCTTTCCTCTCCTCCCTTCGCTCGTCTTTCCTCTCTTCCCTTCGCTCATCTTTCCTCTCTTCATGTTTGTCTTCTTTCCGGTCTTCCTTACGTTCTTCTTTTTTGTCTTCCTTTTTATCATCTTTCCTTTCTTCTTTCCTATCCTCACTTTTCCTCTCACAAACTTTGTCCACAGTTCGCACTTCACATTTGACATCATGAAGCTTTTCTTCAGATTTATCTTTTCTTCTTTCTCTTTTTTCATCCCTTTTATGGCACTCTTCTTTTTTATCTTCCACTTTATGTTCATTAGCTTTTCTTTTTTGCTTGGTTTCCAACACATCCAAAGTTCTGTGATTGATCTTTTCATCGTGGCTATCTCTTAAATCATCTCTTCGCCCACATCTACTTTTCTTTTCGCGCTCGCTCTTTTTATTCTCTCTAGTGTCACGTGAATCACGTCGCTCTTTGCTCACTTTCTCACGCAAAATCTTTTCTTCTTCACCATCAAACTTCATTCGTTTAGAGTCAGGTTCCAAGGTTTTACCATCGAGTTTACATCGAGGGTCACTGTCAACACTGCTGTGTCTTCGTTTATGGTTATTGGTTGCTTCCTTGTTATTTCCTTCACTTTTCACTGTTTCTACTTTGATATTCTCCACTTTAATCATTTCAGCCTTCATATTTTCTAATTTAAAAGGGTCAACTTTAATATTTTCTGCCTTAATAGCCTCTATTTTAACAGATTCTGCTTTCATATGGGAATTAATATGTTCTGCAGCAACAGTCATCACCATCTCTTTACACTCATTAACTTCACTCACAAACTCTTTAGTCTTAGTATCATCTAATATGAGTTCATCACTATTTATTCTTTGAAGAACAGGGTCCTCTGCCTCTTCCAAATGAGGCTCTTCTTTTACTAATAATGGGAGAGCATAACTGCCACTCCTTTCAGGTACATTATGTGGTGCGGGTTCTCCTGCAGTGGGCCGTGCAGCAAGGCTGGACAGTGGCTGCAGGAGGCTGGTGGTAGTGGTCAGCACCGACTTGCTGCTTGATACTGACTGTGTTACCGACACCACACCTGTAACACGAGTATCTGCAACAACTGTCACCACTCCACTTGATGACCCTCCAAACGACGCTTCTCCCATATCTCCTGTGATAACTGGCATGTCAAGACGCACTACACGGGGTTGCAAGGGGGTACGTCTAAGTGGTGTGGCAGCTGAGGTAGTATTGGTGGCGGTAGCAATGGAAGAGGTGGTGGTGATTGGCGGTGCAGGGCTTACGGGTGTTATCGGAGACATGTGTGGCGGATGGGCAGGACTTACACCAGGACTGACACCGGGACTAAAGCCAGGGCTGGAGGCAGGTGGGCGTACTGCCTGGGAAACCGCAGGTCTATGCAGCGGTGACAATCCCTGAGACTTACTGACCTGCGGGACAGAAACAAACACCCTAGGAACTTGTGAAGGACTCGAAGTGATGGGTTGCTGTTGCTGCACTTGATGACTGGATAGTCTAACACCGGGTAGACTACTGATAGGTGTAGCAGAGGGCACATCAGGTGGGGTAGCAGGAAGGCGTGGCACGTGCACGTTTACCAATGGTGGGCTTGGTATAAGACATCCAGCTTTGCTAGTACGTGATGCTGAAGTGAATGGCTTAGGCTCATATTTATCACCAACATTTTCTAGTCTTTTGCTATCCTCATCAAAGACAGATCTCTTTGAAAGAAGGGATTTAACAATATCGGACGGCTGTGACCGCAATTCTTCAAGATCAAGTATCCGTGGTAGACGTGCATTTTTACTTCCACTACCTCCTGAACTACTTCCACTATCATTCACTACTTCATTTGCATTTGATGTTAAGTTATTTCCCACCACCCTTGATGAACCTGACCACTTTTCATATTTTTCATCTAGGGCACGTATTCTCTGTTCTAGATCAATAGAAGGGCTACATGGTGAAGGCAGAGGTGATTCTTCAGAGTCAGAAGGACTGTCACGTGGACCAGGAGATAGTGGGGTATCTACCACAGCTCCACTCACTTCTCTTGAATCTCCTCGCACACCAACATTTACTCCTCCACTGAAAGGAGGAGATCGCAGCAGACTAGCACCCTTAGGAGACGTTGATGCTGCCCGTGGTGATAAATGAGCACGCACTTGCTGTGCAAATCTAGGTAATGGTAGAGAAAGTGGAACACTATGGTAGCGATCTCTGTGGTGGTGGTGATGGTGATTGTGATGGTGGTGGTGGTGGTGGTGTAATGTATGACGTACAGGGTCTAAGGAGTCATCCCTCTCATCACGGACAGGGGTACCAGGAGGACTGGTATCACTATGATCTGCAGCAGCATCACATGATGATGAAACATGAACAGCATCTCGTCGCCAATGAACATCATCAGACTCTGATATAGAAGGTCTGCGATAGCGTGGATCATGAAGAACTTCTTCAGTATGGCGTGGTGGTGGTGGCAATGTCTCTCCACTGCGCCGTATTAATCTGTTTTCTCTACGTGCATCATGTGGTCGTCGGAAATTTGGTACTGAATCACTACTATCAGCCAATCGCTTAACACTAACTATCTTTTCGTAACTGATTTCATTATAGCGTGGTTTCTTTGGAGGTCGTTCAGGATCAGGAGGTCGCTCATCACCGGAAGAAGGTGGGTCATCAGTACCTCGACGGTGTAAAAGTCTAGGATCCTGAGGTCCACCTGCACCTCCACTACTACTGCTTACTACATCTTCTCCATCCTCTGTATGAGATGAACGATGTAGTCGATGGGTGCCTGTCCTGTGGGGCGATTCTGGTGGTGCTGGGGGTTGTCGACGCACATCACTAACACGAACAACAAGATCTTTAAGGTCATTTGTACGTCTTCTGTAATCACGAGGGTCTGGAAGAGAACGGTCATCAAGGAGTGTTACCTCTCGTGATGGTGATGCAGCTATAGGTGTCCCTGGTGATCTGGGAGCTAAACGAGAAGAAACTCCTGAAGTACCTTTTGAGGGACGTGGTGGCGGTGGTGGAGGAGAGGCAGCGCGAGATCCAGGGGGGGATTGACTATGGAAACTATCATGATCACTGGTGGAACGTCTGGCAGTACGACGACTACCAGACTCTCCATCCTCATACGGAACACGAGCCGGAGGACTCAGGCTACTTCGATCTCTCGAATGTGCACGCTGTGAACCTGGCGATGGGTCATCTCGTCGACGTGCAGGACTAAAACTATGCCGTCGGTTACCTCCAGCTACAGCGTTACTACCACCTCCAGTGCCAATACCAACACCCTCACCATATCTCTGACTTCCAGCATACTCACGAAGCTCCCGCTCATATGAGTCTTCATAAGATGCCCCACTTCCTTGACTAAATTCGTCATAACTCCGCCTGTTAAAAAATCTTTTGTCATATATACAATCACAAAAATTTTATATAAATTGACAAAACAGAATTACAAGACAAATAAATAAATAAATAAATAAAATTATTACACACACACATTATTTATATTATATTGTATTTTTATTATTATTTATAATATTATATATATATATATATATATATATATATATATATATATATATATATATATATATATATATATATATATATATATATATATATATATATATATATATATATATATATACACACACACACACACACACACACACACACACACACACACACACACACAATCGACTTGAGAATGGTCCAGGATGGACCGAAACGTCGTCGTCCCTTCACCTTCTAGTGTTTGGTCTGGTCATCATACTTTAGCCACGTTATTGTGACTCATCGCCTGTATACATACAGTATATTTATATATATGACAGTGTCAGACCACAAAGGAAGGATTGAAACAGGAATTTCCTTATGTACAGCACTTTCGTATTAATAATAATACATCTTCAGAAGGATGTATTCAGAGCCTTCTGAAGATGTATTATTAACCCTTTAGCTGTGCAAAACGTTACATGGTAGGAGGGTAGAAATAGCCTAAGCTACTCTATCCCTTTGAGATGTATTTTTCTTGTCTCAATAAACATACTTGAACTTGAACTTGAACGTCACATGAAGCCGGACACAGAGCTCAGTTTTTAAAATTTGCTGAAATGCTTTCAAATGTTTTGTGCATAATCCACTAAGCAAATGCTCCTACTTTATCTAAATGATACCAATGTAACTTGAAAAACAAGAAAAAAAATATATAAAATTTAATATTGAAAACTTCAGGTTTTGAAATCAGCTGCAAAAATATAAAATATCACCAAATGTTCAATTGGTGTTATTATGCTCTCAGAATAGCATATGATCTTCATTTTCATATATTTAGAATCTAGGTTTTCAGTACAGTTTACAGTAAAAAAAAAAATCGTCAATATGGCATTTGAAAAATGCGCATATTTAGACAAAAATTTATAACTCCAAACGATTAGGGTTTATGAAAAATCAATTCTATAGGGATTGTAGATCAGACAGCTGTGCACACTATAAATTAAAATGGTGAGAATCAGTCAGAAACTAGATTTTTGGATAATGAAGTTGAAATTATAATTATAGATATAATCGACAATGTAATAAGTAATCGACAATGAGTAAGGCAATTCCAATTCATGAATTTACTTTTATGCTTTAATAAACATTATTTGGCATTCATACTCGAATATGTGAAACTTGTAGGTCAATATGAGTTGAAATGAAGTCAAGAAAAAATAACCCCCCAAAAACACAATATAAGGATAATTATAATGAGTTAGGGGATATATTTAGGGTATACTTTATATAAGTGAAAAAAAAACTTACCTGGTTCCTAATCACCAAAACAACCAAAAGAGACAAAGAAAATGGAGTTTGAAATCTGTGAAAAAAATCAGCCAAAAAAATTCAAAGTACCAAATTCTGTGAGTTGTGACCGATTTATTTGTTGACCAATTTCATTATACCTTCACATAGTATGCACTCTCCAGAATGTGAAGGTTACAGCAAAACCAGATAATATAAAAATAAAAAATAAAAATTAATGAAAAACAGATACAGTATTAACATTGGGCAATGTATTGATATGATATATAACAAAGGAGAGCATAATAACATACACTCATTATTATTTGTGTTATTATGTATTACTCAGCAATACTATAAAGGCACCAGCAGCATATCCACTTTGTGGAGCCTTCTTGCTACTATTCTTCTTTGTGCATCGGACAGGTGCTTGCTATTACTGCTATTACTGCTATTACTTGCTATTACTTGCTATTACTGCTTATCCCTTAGTTCCTGTTAATAGGAGTTGTTCTCCTTATCAAGAAAAGTTCTTCTTTTTAAACAAATTCATCTAAAATCAATTTCATAAATATTTTGATGAAATGAACAAATTTAACACCACTAGTGTAGTGAAGTACAGTGTAGTGTTTTGATGAAAGTTTCACGACACTGAAGCCAATAAGTTGATTTGTTTAACATTTTTAAGTAATTTTTACATAATTCAGTTATTTTTCACTTTCCTGCCCCTTTTGCTGAGTAGTATAAGGGTTAAATATGAAAGTACTCAAGGAAATTCCTGTTCCAATCCTTCCTTCATAGTCCGACACTGTCACATTTTTCATCATGTGTTACTTTTCGTGATTTACACACCCATTTATATATTTGGTAGCAGTCTTCTTTTAAACATTTTGTGGAAAGCAACAAAGTTTTAGATTTATGATTCTGGCACAAATCTTCTCTATATTCCTTATGTTTTTCTTTACTGAAGCAGGAAGATTAAAAATTAGCTCTCCAAAGTTTATTTTTACTTTTTATTTGGGTTTGACGCCTAGTAATGCGTTTCGTAAGGTCTCACCTCACATTCTCAAAGACAAATTCTAATACTGTAATGTGTTGTTGTTATAGATTCAGCTACTCAGAACAAGTTCCAAGTAGCACGGGCCGGTAGCTTACCTGGCACAGGAACGGGGCAAGTAGCACGGGCTATGTGAGCCCGTAGTGAACTTACCTGGCACAAGAGCGGGGCAAGTAGCACGGGCTATGTGAGCCCGTAGTGAACTTACCTGGCACAGGAGCGGGGCAAGTAGCACGGGCTATGTGAGCCCGTAGTGAACTTACCTGGCACAGGAGCGGGGCAAGTAGCACGGGCTATGTGAGCCTGTAGTGAACTTACCTGGCACAGGAGCAGTACTGTGAATTCTAATGTGTTAGCACCTGGTTATATCCTCTTATGGTGAGTTGGTAGGTGACATGGATGAATAACATTACATGGGGTATTAGTACTTTCGCCCAGTAACCACACACACTGTGTCAAAACATTTTCTCACGGATGTACGCCAATCACCTATATTGCATCGTAAATTAAAATATTTGTTAAAATTCTAATTTTTATCCAATCATTCTGGGACTGGTTTTAAAATGAGTGCCTGTAGATTGTGCACCATTTGATACCATAATGAATGCTGTAGCAGTCCAAAATTTTGCAATCCAAAATTAAAATATTTGTTAAAATTTCATTTAATATTCGATTATTATGTGACTAGTTTGATAATGCGCGCATTTAGATTGCGAACAATTTGACACTAAAATGAACGAAATAGCACAACAGTTGAGGTCAGAACACTGGAAATATTATAAATACTTGTGTGGTGATAAGCATCCAAAAATTAAAATATTTGTTAAAATTCCATTTATTATTCAATTATTATAGGACTAGTTTTAAAATGCGTGCCTATTGATTGTAAACAATTTGATACCAAAATGAACGACGTAGCTTAGAAACTGAGGTCAGAACACTGGAAAGAGTACACATGTTCCGGGAATCATGGGGCTGGGTACGAATTGCCAAACCCATTTTGGGGTGGGCTCAGGCACGTGCGCCAAGAGTGGGAAAGTGTTAAATTAATTGGGTATTAATGAGGTATTGAAAGAAGAGTAATTGATGTTGGCAGCTCATGTTCTTCTGATTGCTTCCGTTCCTGCTGCAGGGTCATTCAATCCAGCTTCTGCATTTCGCCTGGGGTCTTTAAGTGGGTACTGTGTGTATGTGTATGCTGTGTATTAGCTGGTTATTGATTGGTGGTCTAGATTTCTTGATATGCAGCGCTTCACTGATGTCTAATCTTCTGTTGTCATTGTATCAATTATTTCAGTATCTCGTCAAAATATCCCTGGTGAGCGTCTCGTTGTGTGTGGCGATTGTGTGTTCCTTGATGGAGCCTTGTTGTTTGTGCATTGTTAAACGCCTAGAGAGAGAGACGTTGTAGTCTTGTCTATATACCTATATACCAAGTTCGTTGGGGCTGACAATCCCCAAGTGGGCATATGAAGACATACACAATGTTGGTCTCTTTCAAGGTATTTTTCTTGGTATCAGGAAAATTCTTCATTAGAAGGTTGGTGGTTTTTCGCCATGTAATGTCATTCATCCATATGTCACCTAACCACCTCACAATAAGAGGATATAACCAGGTGCTAACACAGTACAATTTGAATTTAATAATGTGAGGCGAGATCTTACGAAACACATCATTAGGCTTCAGACCCAAATAAAAATTATAAATGAACTTTTGGAGAGTTAATTTTTAATCTTCCCGCTTCAGTAAAGAACATACTGAATATCGGAAAGATTCGTGCCAGAATCATACATCTAAAACTTTGTCGTTTTTAACGAAATAAACAATAAAATAAATAATGAAATAAATAAATAAAATAAATAAATAAATAAAATAAATAAATAAATAAAATAAATAAATAATGAAATAAATAAATAAAATAAATAAATAAATAAAATAAATAAATAAATAAAATAAATAAATAATGAAATAAATAAATAAAATAAATAATGAAATAAATAATAAAATAAATAAATAAAATACCTGTAAATCAATAATAAAATAAAAATAAAATATATATATATATATATATATATATATATATATATATATATATATATATATATATATATATATATATATATATATATATATATATATATATATATATATATATATATATATATATATATATATATATATATATATATATATATATATATATATATATATATATATATATATATATATATATATATATATATATATATATATATATATATATATATATATATATATATATATATATATATATATATATATATATATATATATATATATTATTAAATATGACCGAAAAAGTAAGATTAATAATTCTAACACGAATTTTCTCAATCTTTCGTACATTACGCTTCACTGTTGGAGGTAAATCAAAAATCACTTCTCCAAAATTCATTTTTATTTCTAGTCTGACGCGACACGGGCGCGTTTCGTAAAACTTATTACATTTTCAAAGACTTCACAAATACACAACTGATTAGAACTTGCGTTTCCCTGATTTTATATCTACATTTGAGTAAGGTGGGAAGGGTGATGTGGCATTACATTTGAGTGAGGTGGGAAGGGTGATGTGGCATTAACACAAGACAGAACACTAGGGGATATTAATAGGGTATTAAAAGTATCAACACAAGACAGAACAGAAACAATGGGTATTGAATAGAAGTGTTTGTAGAAAGCCTATTGGTCCATATTTCTTGATGCTTCTATATTGGAGCGGAGTCTTGAGGTGGGTAGAATATAGTTGTGCAATAATTGGCTGTTGATTGCTGGTGTTGACTTCTTGATGTGTAGTGCCTCGCAAACGTCAAGCCGCCTGCTATCGCTGTATCTATCGATGATTTCTGTGTTGTTTACTAGGATTTCTCTGGCGATGGTTTGGTTATGGGAAGAGATTATATGTTCCTTAATGGAGCCCTGTTGTTTATGCATCGTTAAACGCCTAGAAAGAGATGTTGTTGTCTTGCCTATATACTGGGTTTTTTGGAGCTTACAGTCCCCAAGTGGGCATTTGAAGGCATAGACGACGTTAGTCTCTTTTAAAGCGTTCTGTTTTGTGTCTGGAGAGTTTCTCATGAGTAGGCTGGCCGTTTTTCTGGTTTTATAGTAAATCGTCAGTTGTATCCTCTGATTTTTGTCTGTAGGGATGACGTTTCTATTAACAATATCTTTCAGGACCCTTTCCTCTGTTTTATGAGCTGTGGAAAAGAAGTTCCTGTAAAATAGTCTAATAGGGGGTATAGGTGTTGTGTTAGTTGTCTCTTCGGAGGTTGCATGGCTTTTCACTTTCCTTCTTATGATGTCTTCGATGAAACCATTGGAGAAGCCGTTATTGACTAGGACCTGCCTTACCCTACAGAGTTCATCTCTGTAGGGTAAGGCAGAATCCTAGTCAATAACGGCTTCTCCAATGGTTTCATCGAAGACATCATAAGAAGGAAAGTGAAAAGCCATGCAACCTCCGAAGAGACAACACAACACCTATACCCCCTATTAGACTATTTTACAGGAACTTCTTTTCCACAGCTCATAAAACAGAGGAAAGGGTCCTGAAAGATATTGTTAATAGAAACGTCATCCCTACAGACAAAAATCAGAGGATACAACTGACGATTTACTATAAAACCAGAAAAACGGCCAGCCTACTCATGAGAAACTCTCCAGACACAAAACAGAACGCTTTAAAAGAGACTAACGTCGTCTATGCCTTCAAATGCCCACTTGGGGACTGTAAGCTCCAAAAAACCCAGTATATAGGCAAGACAACAACATCTCTTTCTAGGCGTTTAACGATGCATAAACAACAGGGCTCCATTAAGGAACATATAATCTCTTCCCATAACCAAACCATCGCCAGAGAAATCCTAGTAAACAACACAGAAATCATCGATAGATACAGCGATAGCAGGCGGCTTGACGTTTGCGAGGCACTACACATCAAGAAGTCAACACCAGCAATCAACAGCCAATTATTGCACAACTATATTCTACCCACCTCAAGGCTCCGCTCCAATATAGAAGCATCAAGAAATATGGACCAATAGGCTTTCTACAAACACTTCTATTCAATACCCATTGTTTCTGTTCTGTCTTGTGTTGATACTTTTAATACCCTATTAATATCCCCTAGTGTTCTGTCTTGTGTTAATGCCACATCACCCTTCCCACCTCACTCAAATGTAATGCCACATCACCCTTCCCACCTCACTCAAATGTAGATATAAAATCAGGGAAACGCAAGTTCTAAGCAGTTGTGTATTTGTGAAGTCTTTGAAAATGTAATAAGTTTTACGAAACGCGCCCGTGTCGCGTCAGACTAGAAATAAAAATGAATTTTGGAGAAGTGATTTTTTATTTACCTCCAACAGTGAAGCGTAATGTACGAAAGTTTGAGAAAATTCGTGTTAGAATTATTAATCTTACTTTTTCGGTCATATTTAATAATATATGTCTACAGGAGAGACTGCTACCAAAATATACTAATATATATATATATATATATATATATATATATATATATATATATATATATATATATATATATATATATATATATATAAATATATATATATATATATATATATATATATATATATATATATATATATATATATATATATATATATATATATATATATATATATATATATATATATATATATATATATATATATATATATATATATAATATATATATATATATATATTATATATATGTCGTACCTAGTAGCCAGAACGCACTTCTCAGCCTACTATGCAAGGCCCGATTTGCCTAATAAGCCAAGTTTTCCTGAATTAATATATTTTCTCTAATTTTTTTTTCTTATGAAATGATAAAGCTACCCATTTCATTATGTATGAGGTCAATTTTTTTATTATTGGAGTTAAAATTAACGTAGATATATGACCGAACCTAACCAACCCAACCTAACCTAACCTATCTTTATAGGCTAGGTTAGGTTAGGTAGCAGAAAGAGTTAGGTTAGGTTAGGTAGTCGAAAAAACATTATTTCATGAAAACTTGGCTTATTAGGCAAATCGGGCCTTGCATAGTAGGCTGAGAAGTGCGTTCTGGCTACTAGGTACGACATATATATATATATATTATATATATATATAAAATTATGATTACTTGATAATAGAACTTCATTATGAGCACAAAGTTATTTTGACAGCAAATTTAAACAGTAAAAGAAAAAAAAAAAAAAAAAAAAATTAAACTGCCTTCTAACACTCACACTGGGGGAAATTCATCATAGTTGTCATATCGCCCTCGTGACCGGGTGCCTGTCGCATTGTAAGCAGTCGTTCGATTGTTGGCTGCAGGTCTGGCAGGAAATGGGGCGCCTTCTCTCCTTGTACGCTCGTAACGACTGTACCTATTAGTCGTGCCTTCATAACGCCCGGGCTCTCTGTGGGCGGCACAAATAATTAGTATTATATAAAGTACTGGTAAGTTATTATAGTAAACTATATTTCATTAGAATAATTTATGATCAGATTTATAAAGAAAAACTGATACTAAATAATGGCCACAAACTTGATAAAATATACATAATGCACATAAAATAATTAGTCATCTTACATTGATTTACACTACAGTATTCTTATCTGGGTGTTACACCAATGAGGCTAATACGGATACAGTACTTCTATATATGGATATAGAAGAGTTCATCTAGACCCATAACAAAATTCCTGGTATTGTTTCATGAATGGTTACTATGCAAATATCGTCATTATCACAAGTGTTACTTATACCAAATATGAGCTAACCATATGAGGCAGCAGCTACTTGTATCCACCCAAACTCATTCATATATACGAAGAAGTTTGGGTGGATATAAATAGAAGCTTCTTCGAATGGGCCAATAGGCCTTTTGCAATTTCCTCATTTCTTATGCTCTGAATGATACAAATTCATTCATTCATACAATTATTGATTCATTCACCGATACACAATTCCTTAGAATTGTATAAATACCTTTTAGGTATTTGGGCTTCCAAGGAATTGTGTATCAGTGAATGAATATACATTCTTTATCAATGTACACAACCCTGTATGCAACGTATAGATAAGTGATAGGGTGTGACCATGTGTGTGCGCGCGTGTAATTACCTAAGTGTAATTACCTAAGTGTAGTTACAGGATGAGAGCTACGCTCGTGGTGTCCCGTCTTCCCAGCACTCTTTGTCATATAACGCTTTGAAACTACTGACGGTCTTGGCCTCCACCACCTTCTCACTTAACTTGTTCCAACCGTCTACCACTCTATTTGCGAAGGTGAATTTTCTTATATTTCTTCGGCATCTGTGTTTAGCTAGTTTAAATCTATGGCCTCTTGTTCTTGAAGTTCCAGGTCTCAGGAAGTCTTCCCTGTCGATTTTATCAATTCCTGTTACTATTTTGTACGTAGTGATCATATCACCTCTTTTTCTTCTGTCTTCTAGTTTTGGCATATTTAATGCTTCTAACCTCTCCTCGTAGCTCTTGCCCTTCAGTTCTGGGAGCCACTTAGTAGCATGTCTTTGCACCTTTTCCAGTTTGTTGATGTGCTTCTTAAGATATGGGCACCACACAACAGCTGCATATTCTAGCTTTGGCCTAACAAAAGTCATGAACAACTTCTTTAGTATATCGCCATCCATGTATTTAAATGCAATTCTGAAGTTAGAAAGCATTGCATAGGCTCCTTGCACAATATTCTTAATGTGGTCCTCAGGTGATAGTTTTCTATCTAGAACCCCTCCTAGATCTCTTTCTTTATCAGAATTCTTTAAAGATTTCTCACATAATATATAGGTTGTGTGGGGTCTATGTTCTCCTATTCCACATTCCATAACATGACATTTATTAACATTAAATTCCATTTGCCAAGTGGTGCTCCATATACTTATTTTGTCCAGGTCTTCTTGAAGGGCATGACAATCATCTAAATTTCTTATCCTTCCTATTATCTTAGCATCATCAGCAAACATGTTCATATAATTCTGTATACCAACTGGTAGATCATTTATGTACACAATAAACATCACTGGTGCAAGAACTGAACCCTGTGGTACTCCACTTGTGACATTTCTCCATTCCGATACATTGCCTCTGATTACTGCCCTCATTTTTCTATCAGTCAGAAAATTTTTCATCCATGATAGAAGCTTACCTGTCACCCCTCCAATATTTTCCAGTTTCCAGAACAACCTCTTATGTGGAACTCTGTCGAAAGCCTTTTTTAGGTCCAGATAGATGCAGTCAACCCAGCCATCTCTTTCCTGTAATATCTCTGTGGCCCGATCATAGAAACTGAGTAAATTCGATACACAGGATCTTCCTGATCGAAAACCATACTGTCTGTCTGATATTATATCATTTCTCTCCAGGTGTTCTACCCATTTAGTTTTGATTAGCTTTTCCAATACTTTCACTATTACACTTGTCAATGATACAGGTCTATAATTGAGGGGGTCTTCCCTGCTGCCACTTTTGTAGATTGGAACTATGTTAGCCTGTTTCCACACGTCTGCTACGATTCCTGTACACAGGGATGCCTGAAAGATCAGGTGAAGTGGAATGCTGAGCTCAGATGCACATTCTCTCAGAACCCATGGTGAAACGCCATCTGGGCCAGCTGCTTTGTTCCTCCCGAGCTCCTTTAGCATATTTTCCACTTCATCTCTAGACACCTCTATCCGCTCTATGTTGTTCTCTGGAATTCTTATTGTGTCTGGTTCTCTGAAGATTTCATTTTGTACAAACACACTTTGGAACTTTTCATTTAATGTTTCACACATTTCCTTTTCATTTTCCGTGAATCTGTTTCCCATTTCCAACCTCTGGATATTATCCTTTACCTGCAATTTGTTGTTTATGAATTTGTAGAATAGGCCCGGTTCTGTTTTACATTTATCTGCTATCCCTTTTTCAAAATTTCTTTCTGCCTCTCTCCTTACTGCTGTATAATTGTTTCTCGCATCTTTGTATCGCTGGTATGTTTGGGGGTTTGGCCTCTTCCTATACTGATTCCATTTTTGTGTCTTTTGGTCTCTTGCCCTCTCACAATTTCTGTCGAACCAATCCTGTTTTTTGGTCCTGCATCTCTGTTTTGGTATGAATGTTTGTGTGCCTTCCTCGTATAGTTTTAAAAATTTGGCATACATTTCATTTACTTCCCTGCCTAGCAACAATTCTGTCCAATTACACTCATTAAAAAAATTTTGAAGTTCCCCATAGTTGCCTCTCTTTAAATCGAGTTTATCAACTGTTTCAATGTCCCCATTTTCTTCTAGATGATATCTTAAAGCATATTTAATGTCTAACAGGACGTGATCACTCTTTCCCAAGGGAGGAAGGTACTGGATGTCAAAAATCTCTTCTTCTTTCCTGGTGAATACTAGATCCAGTACTGACGGTATATCTCCTTCCCTCATTCTTGTGGCTTGCTTTATGTGTTGATACAAGAATGTCTCCAGAATGAGGTTCACAAATCTGCATGTCCAAAAGTCCTCCGTTCTTGCTTCATAGGCCTCCCAGTCTATTGCTCTAAAGTTGAAGTCCCCCAGTATCAACAGTCGTGATTTATCTTTATCTGCTTGTACAATAATATCTCTCATGACCATTATGAGGCCCTCTCGTTTGTCATCCAGTTCTTCCTTTGTCCACGTGTTGCTTGCTGGTGGGCTGTAGGTATTTACAATTATCAGGTTATCATCCTGATTCCAGACCTGCAATGCCATTATGTCAATATCTCGAGGGTTTTCAAATATTAACTCTTTTACCTTCAGGTGTTTTTTCACCAGTACAGCCACTCCTCCTCCCTTCCTAGTTTTCCTGTCACGTCTCCAAACTGAGTAGCCTCTTGGGAATATGACTTCATTTATTATATTTCCTTCAAGTTTCGTTTCTGATAATGCAACAATATCTGGGACCCTAAGCTGGATTATATCTTGCAACTCCAAAGTTTTTGACCTCACTCCATCTATGTTGGTATATACAATTTTCAGGAACATGTTCCCTTTTCCTTTGCTCTTTACTCCCCCTTCCACTACTGATCTTGTTGCTTTGTTTTTATGTACCATTTCACAAGCTTTCCAGTCCCTGTCACTTTGTAAAAAAAAGAATTTCTGTCTTCTTCATTTCTATCCCCATTTAGACGTTTTGCCTCAATTAAGTTCATTTTCAGCTTTTCTCTGTCTTCCTTGGAGAGGTCTTGTCTTATTGACCAAGATTTGCCAACCTCATCACTCTGCAGATTCCTGGCATTTCTTAGCACTTCCATCATGTTTTTCACTCCATTAAAGGTCACCCTTAAGGGGCGGTTCTTTTCTTTCTCATATTTTCCTATTCTTCTAAAATCACTGACATTTTCCTTTGAGCCTTCTCCTAAACCTACTATTTTCTCTATGATTTTCATCTCTTCTGCCGCTCGGTCCACCCTAGATGAAATTTCCTTCTCTAAACATCCAAAAATGATTATGGACTTAGTTCTATCTGCAGTGTTTTGTACCAGTTTACTGTTGGTAACCAGTTCTTTCCTAATTGCTTGCCTAATTTCTGCTTCTTGTTGGTCATTTCTGGTTTTGACTTCCGAACACACTTCTTTGATAGTCTCTTTCTCTTTTACAACTTGAGCATATGTCGCTTTTATTTCTTCTTTATACTTTTCTAGTTCTTTATTCACCTCCTCTATGTGAGTTGTCAGTGAAGTTTCCAGTTGGAGATCCTTACCTAACTCTATGTTAGCCCTTAGGCTTGCTTGGAGTTGTTCACCATATGAGTCTATCTTTTTGTTTATTTCTTCAAAGTCACCACACTTCATTTTCCATGCCTCATTTTCTTTCACTAGTTCCTTGATTTGCTCCTCCTGATTTGTTACCTTGTCTGTTAATGCAGTAATAATCTTACCTTGTTGCAGCATACTCCCTTTTAGAGTGCAAAGCTCACTCCAAAGAGCTCCATTGTCCTCTTCTAATTTAAGCACTTTTTCTTCATACTTCATTTGCGTGTGTGCATGCTCCACCGTTTTCTTAAAATTGGGAGGGATAAACAACCAACACATCCAGTGGAAAATGGCATAATTGTGTATGAAAGTCTGGCAGGCAGATTGAAACCAAAATTACTTCTAAAAAACATAGCATAAAGTGTTTTTCAAAAGAAATAGTGCAGATGCACATGGTAAAAGTGACCGCTCGGAGAGTATAGTCAGGCAGGCAGGCAGTGACCCGAGTCAGTAATCAGTGAGGTCACCAACCCACCATCCAAGGTTCTCTTGGGCAAAACCAGCCTTAAAGTTAAGACCACAACACTTAGCCCACTACAAGAGTTAATACCAACACTGGTGCTTCACTGCCCTCAACCACCACCAAGCACGAGAAAATAATAAAAATTTACTTGGATCCTGCAGCCTCTCCGAGACAC